GTTAATATGATTGGCTTAATTATATATTTTTTATTTTTTTTAAAACAATTATTATTATTATTATTACTATTATTATTATTATTATAAAATATATGTATATTCTTAGGTCATTTTACATGTTAATCTAAACAGCTAATTTTTTGAAATATCTTTTTACCAACCGTTGATATAATTCGTTGGTCAAATCCGTTAACGCTAATCGCTAACTGCTGATTGTCAAACAAGGACATTACGAGATAATTCTCACTGAAATTTGTTGTGTGATTTGAATACTTTCTTTGTCAACAAATCCCTTAAGTAGTTAATATGATTGACTTTATTAATTATATTTTTTAATTTTTTCATGGTATTAATAAAATACTTGGTAAATAAATATATAGCATTATTTTGTATTATAACTTTGATATTTAATTAAAAAAGTAGTGCACAAAAAAGATAATAGACAATGTAATGAATATAATCAATTGATAAATTTGAATGTAAAGGATTTTTACATTGGAGAAAAATAAAGACAATATAACTAATGAAATTATTTCTCTTATTTAATTTATTGATAATGAATAATTTTTTTTTGAATAAAGACATTGTAGACACATAATTCTAAATTAAAGAAATGCATATATATTATTTTTTGTTGTAGCTACTAAATTATTATTTTATAATAATTTAATAAGAGTGACATAGAGTACTAAATTTAATAAGAGTAAAATAGAGTACTAATTATGCCAACTTTGATTGGGATGGAGTTCGAACTTAAGACCTTTCTTATTGAAATCAATGAGTAAGTTAACGGTGAATTAACAGAAATTAACGGAAAAGATAATATTTAACGGAAAAGTTAACGGATAATCATATTCATTAAGGATAAATTAGGAAATCTTAAGAAAAAATTAAAATCTGATCAATCTGAGCTATTCATTTGATTAAAAAATTTGACTGCCATTTTTTCTTCCCATTATAGTCCTAACTCTCTTGGGCTCTTATTAGTATAGTAGAAGTAGATAGTAGATAGTAGATAGTAGATAGTAGATAGTAGATATAGTAGATATATATATATATATATATATATATATATATATATATATATATATATATATATATATATATATATATATATATATATATATATATATATATATATATATTTTTTTTTTTTTTTTTATGGAACGAAATAATGTAAATATATATTTAATGTATTGATGTATTTATGTAATGACTTCTTCTTTTTTCTTTTTCTTTTTTTTTTTGGCGTAATAAATGTATTATAAGTTATTTTTCATAATGAATATAATGTAGTAAATTTTCATAGAATATTTTAGGTAATATGAATGATGAGAGAAATATATTACCACTAGCTATCTGATAGTATATTTGGAATAAATTTCGCTCGCGTGTAATAGTCTGCAAACAAACTATATATTGTTATATTTATAAAAGAAAAAAAAAAGGTTTTATTTTGGACCTTTTAATAAAAAGAGCACAACTTTTGAGAGATAGACAGTAACTGTAGTGAATGTCTTCTTTTTTTTTTCTTTTTTTTTTTTTTAAAAAAATGATAAGTTAACCATCTGTTAGGTGGTTTTGTCTTTATTTGTTATTTTTATAGTTATCTATTCAAAGAAAAATTTTATAAAATGGAAATTATATAATTGAATCATGACTCATCAATATAGTGAGTTGTTCTCACCCAAAAAAAAATATCAATATAGTGAATTGTAACGAATGTTCATCACATTTTTGTCTAGGCTATTAATTGCAATAAATGTCTAATTTTATAGTATCCATCAATTTAGAAGATATTTATGTTGGAGTAATATTACATTCTCTTGCAAAGAGAAGTTTTTTTTTTTTTTTTTTTTTTTTTTTTTTTTTTTTTTTTTTTTTTTTTTTTTGTCTATAAGAGGAGGATTTGTACTCTCGACCTTTTATAAAAAATGAAAGTGTACGGTCACTCACGTCAATGAAGCTAGTTCTTCTCTTATAAAAACTAGTATTTGCCCCGCGCGATGCACGGACAAAAATTTATAAGTATTGTTGTAATGTTATGATACAAAGCAGAATTAGTTTTATTAAAAATGTAGGTATAGTTATACAATGTAATATTTGAATGTTAAAAGACAATAAATGCATTCATATTGCTAATCTCATTTGCAATAATGATCTTACAAAGTTAAACGGACAAAGAAAGACTCGGACCAACTCGTGGTTTACACACACACACAAAAATTAATGATCTTACAAATCTATTAATATGCATTCACACTTAGACGAAAATTTTTTTTCCCTACTTAGCTTGATTTTACTTTACCTAACTTTCTTTGTAAATTATTAAAAATCTAATCAAAATTACAAACTATTAAAAAGTTAGTACGTGTGTGTGTGTGTGTGTGTATATATATATATATATATATATATATATATATATATATATATATATATATTTAACTTCATAAAAAATAAAAGTTTTAATATAACAAATGTTGGGCTAATATATAATTACATTTTTTTTAAATTTCGGGCCAAACCTATCCCATTGCTGCAACCCATTTTCCCAAAGCCCATTCACAATTTTGGAGGAAAAGTTAATTTTGGAGGGAAAGCTAGGATTCTGCTTTATTTTATTATATATATATATATATATATATATATATATATATATATATATATATAAAGAAGATAAAGATAAAGATGTTATCTCCTAATATTTATTTTTGATGTGTTATTAATTATAGGATTTTAAATATTTAATGATTGCTCAAATTCTTTAGTAACTCATGGTTGAGATGTAACAATTTATATGTTTGAACCGTACCCTTTAATGGTCCTTCCCTGCTTTTGTCATGAAAACTTGTGGATGAGGTAAATTTTGAGATGTACCTCAACTGACTTATAAACTCTCAAATGCTTGTACACTATCGTTTGAGATGAAGAGATGTCGAGATCATCCCGGAACTTAACGTCGATTGTTGAAAGACTATCTAGCTACATTCTTAATCCCAAAGTAAAATATTCATTGACGTAGACACAGAGGTTTCAAGATCAATTGTAAACCTATTGTCGGTTGCTGATAAGAATTGTAATTTAATGTTACATTTCAAGATCAACTGTAAACCTATTGTCGGTTGCCGATAAGAATTGTAATTTAATGTTACGCTTTAAGATCAACTGTAAACCTATTGTCGGTTGCCGATAAGAATTGTAATTTAATGTTACGTTTCAAGATCAACTGTAAACCTATTGTCGGTTGCCGATAATAATTGTAATTTAATGTTACGTTACACGCTTAATCTTGAAGTCAGATATTCATTGACGTGGATGGGGAGGTGGCAAGATCAACCATGAAGCTATTGTTGGTTGCCAAAAATAAGTGTAGTTTACTGTCAAGCTACACTCTTAATCCCGAAGTAAAATATTCATTTATGTTGATGGTGATGTGTCAATATTAACTAGCTGACACTTTTGTCAGTTGTCAAAAAGAAGTGTAGTTTACTATCAAGCTACACTCTTAATCCCAAAGCAAAATATTCATTGACGTAGATGAGGTGTCAAGATTAACCTAGAACCTATTGTCGGTTGTCGAAAAGAAGTGTGGTTTACTATCAAGCTACCCAAAGTAAAATATTAATTGATGTAGGTGGTTAGCTGTCAAGATCAACCCTAAACCTATTGTCACTTGTAAAAAAAAAAGTGTAGTTTACTATCAAGCTACACTCTTAATCTCGAAGTAAAATATTCATTGACGTAGATGGAAGGGTGTCGAGGTCAACCCTGAACAGGGCCGATTTTTAAAATTTTATGGCCCTGTTCAGGTAAATAAATAAGGCCCTACCAAAATTAAAATCTTTAAAACTAACACCGTAATTTTATTATCTAAATATATAACAAAATAAAATTATCCGTGCATCGCACACACATTGCACGGATAATTGGACAATTATTTACTCGAATTCAAGCAAGGATAACATAATCGATACAACCCAACGCACAGGTAAAAATAGACATATTATGGAATAATAATAATAATAGTGTGCACAAGTTTTGAACCTTAGACCTCAAAGTTAAAATACAATAAATACATGTTCCTACAATTTCTTTATAAAGCCTTTTAAGTTTAATTAAAAACTTCTAATTTTTATTTCTAAACTAACTAGGTAAAAATAAAATATTGAGCTTCTAAAATTTGGGACCCCTCTAAAATTTGAGACCCTGTGCGATAGCCCAACTTGCACAGCCCAAAATCCGGGCTTGACCCTGAACCTATTGTCGATTGCCAAAAAGAAGTGTAGTTTACTATCAAGCTATACTCTTAAACTCGAAACAAAATTCTTATTGATGTAGATGCTGAGGTGTCAATATCAACATTGAACCTATTATCAGTTACCAAAAATAAGTGTAGTTTACTCTAAAAAAAAACGCTCTTAATCCTGAAGTAAAATATCCATAGATCTAGATGGGGAGGTGTCGATATCAATCCTGGACCTATAATCTCGAACTAAAATATTCTTCAACGTAGATGCTGGGGTGTGAAGATCAACCTTGAAGCTATTGTTAGTTGGCGAAAAGAAGTGTAGTTTACTATCGAGTTACACTCTTAATCACGAAGTAAAATATTCATAGACATAGATAAGGAGGTGGTGAGATCGACATTAAACCTACTATCGATTGTCGAAAAAAGTGCAATTTACTATCAAGTTACACTCTTAATCTCGAATTAAAATATTCATTATTGGATGATTATATAATATTTTTTGAAACACACAGAGTCAATAATACTTCCACTGAAACTCGATCTCATGACCTCCCACATGGGAGAGGTCACTATATTCATCTGAAATGATTTTTTTTTTTTTAAAAAAACTTTGTTCATAGAAATGAATTATTAAAACCACAAATAGTATTATTTATACCAATTGGAGTAAAGGAGGGGCGAGGGCTAAAAAGGCAGGCAGGGAGAAACGTGTGCATATACAAACCCCACACCTATTTAAGCCTCTCCCCTCTCCAACTCACTCTTTACTGCTGCTGCTACTACTACTAAAATAAGCCCATTCAATTGTACAGTCTCTCTCATTTCTCTCTCAAGGGTTTCCCGTTTTACTGCACAGTCGGTTCTTTGTTTTCGTTTTTTCTTCTTCTTCTTCTTCTTCTTCTTCTTTCTCCCCCTCCACAACAGTAACGCTTGCTTGCTTTTGGCCTCTCAATTCACGCCTCCGCCGCAGATTCAAATTCATGTCTAATCTATACCATCAGAACGTGAATTTCTCTCCTGCCAGAGCTGTTTCCCCGCATATTGATAGGTATTTTTGGTTGGATTTTTTTTTCTTTTTTGGGTTTATGTTGTTTTCTCTGTGTTTGATGATATCAAAGTTTGATTGTTTACCCGTGAATTACGAGTATTTTTTGGTTTTTTTTTTTCCTTTGCATTTCCTGTAGTCAGTACTTGACAGAGCTTTTAGCAGAGCGGCAGAAGCTTGGGCCCTTCACGCAAGTTCTTCCCGTATGCAGTCGACTATTGAATCAAGGTGGTTTGGTTTTTTCTTTTTGTTTGTTTTCTGGGATTTTGTTCTTGGATTCTCTTTGTTTGATTCCTTATGTTTGATGCCTTTTTACACGTCTCTTGTGAATGAATTATTCATACACCCACAATTTTGTACTGTGCGTCCTTTTTTTATTTTTTGACTTATGCTTGTTGCCAATAGACTGGTACAGAGAGCATACTTTTACTATCAAGGTTCTTGATAATTTGCAGAAACTAATTGTATGACATGGATGAATCTCCTGAGTATCTTCTGGTAGGTGGGTGGGTGGAACCAGGGGTATTATTCCTCTTGAAATTTTCCTGTATTTTGTTGAATCAAATGTGTTCTCATTTTTGTTCATTTCTCACCCTTCTTGAATTCTTAATGACCTAATTAATCATAAGTGATTTCAGTAGAATAGACTCTTGCCTTTTGAGTCAAACAATTATAGATATTTGTAGTTAAGTTGCTTTTGCAACATTTGATACTGTTTTCCCTGTCAAATTAAGAAATTGGCTTCTTTGCAATACTTTTTAGTGGCTTGATATGATTCAGAATTTGTTGCATTACTCAATGGGACAATAACGAATATACTAATATGCACACATGTATGCTTTTAAGGAAAAAAAAAAGAAAAACTAGAATTGCTTTACAATTTTGCTTCCATTTTGATGACAGAAATTTTGAGAGTTTCTGGGATGATCCCCAACCAAGGATTTAATGACTTCGATCGATTGCACCGTGGAAGCCCGAGACCTATGGCGTCTCTTGACATGATGCAGGATATTGGAGGGAAAGGTTTAGGTGGCTGGAACAGCCTTCAACAGGAGGTGAGCACATACAATCATATAAATCTGGCTTGAGACAATCATACTAGTTTAGCTAAAGATAAGGCGTTTATGTTTATCAGTTTTCTAAGTGCTAATTTACATTGCCTACCACATCTCACCATTAGTGGTAATAAACTTTGAATCCAATAGATTGACTGCTTGAGTAAAGTTACTTCTTAACCTTTGCAAAGCTACCGCTTCTTTTGCAAGGACATTCTTTTTCTTTCAAATTTATGATGAGCAAACTTTGCAACTTTCTTAAACATCCTATTTGCTAAAGTTTTTAAATTCAAAAGCTTTGGTACACTGTGCACACTGACACACATTTTTGAGTTAAACTGTTGCCCTTTCATGTCTAAAACAATGTTATGAATATAGAGTTCTGAAATTGCAGTAAACGTTGTTTAGATAAAATAAATGAAATTTTCTAAGATCACCCTTAGAATTTGCTTTTTCCTGTTTTCCTGATGCACAAAGGATTTGTGAATTTGTCAAGGTTTTAATTCAACCGTAACATGTACGTAGTAATTTTTTTATGAACCTTTGTTTCACAAGGCATCATTCTTGAACTGTGCAAAATATACAATAGCAAAACTTGGTGACATTACCATGTAAGACAGCATGTTTGATCTTCCCAATTTTTTGTTTCTTCTCTATGTTTTTGTCTGATTCAGAGTTGGGGAAGTCTAATATAGTTAAATATCTAAGCATATTATTGCTTCTATAGGTTGTGGTTGTATGGGTTCCATCAATACTCAATTTGTCTGCTCATGTGATCATGTGAAACTCAAACCCAAGATGAGACAGTTAAAGAAGCTATCTCATGTCCCCCTTTGCATACAACTCTTTTCGTTATAATTGATGATATTCATGTAACTCATCAAGAATATTAGGATGGTTGCATTACTTAGGTCATGTCTATTTTGAAGCAGAGACTCAGTGGACCACAAGGAATGCCTATTGATTGGCAAGCAGCATCAGGAAGCCCAAGTTCGTTAATTGCAAAGAGGGTCTTGCGCTTGGATATACCAGTTGATAGATATCCAAATGTAAGTTGAAATGGAGGGTATAGATTATTATCTTGAGGTGGAAGGAGGGAGAGGGGGGTTAAGTGTTAGTACTCATAACTTATATATGTTGCTTCGTGGCTTTGAATCACAACTTACAGTTGTTATGTTTTTGGTGGAATAGTACAACTTTGTTGGCAGACTTTTAGGCCCTCGTGGTAATTCTTTGAAGCGAGTGGAGGCTTCTACTGGGTGCCGTGTATTTATTAGAGGAAAGGGCTCAATAAAAGACCCTGACAAGGTACCCTTATTAGAAACTATAAATTTCTAGTTCTACTTAATGAATTTTAAATTTCTGATGACTCTCTTATTTCCATGGTTGGCATATGACACATGCTAGATATTTTGTTCTTCAATTCCAGGAGGAGAGCCTAAGGGGGCGGCCAGGCTATGAGCACCTAAATGATCCCCTTCATGTTTTGGTTGAGGCAGAGCTACCGATCAATATTGTTGATTCACAGCTGAAACAAGCGAGGGAAATTATTGAAGAACTGCTCAAACCTGTGGTATGCTTTCTATTTTTTATTCGAAAAGGTGCATAATGTGGGCATTTATGAGGTGTGTGTTATGCCATATTCCTATAAAAATGTAGTTGGTTCAAACTTCAAAATTTGAAGCATCAAAGCAATAAACTTGTACACATCAAAGAAGAATGAGAAGTAGTTCTAGACTCTCGTACTTCACATTTTCTTTCTAACTAAAGTAACATCTAGGTGCCTAGGTCAAATGCTATATAAACTATTCATTCTTGCAAAGGGACTCATCCATCCTTAACCAAAGGTCAAGGGTTCAATCCTTGGCTTTGGGAATGGAGCAGCCTTAAATCTCCAGGCCAGCTGTCCCACCCAAAAGAGGTGCCTACAATTCAGCTAGGGGATTAGTCACTGTGTTCGACGGTGGAAACCCTGGGTATACCCAAAAAAAGAAGAAGCTGTTTTTTCCTTCTTTCTTTTCCCTCGTGTCTGAGAATGTAATATCTTCCGAGGTTAACCACTGAAGAGTGAAGTTGGAGAACTAGAATTCAGGTTTAATTTCAAGAGGAAAGGGAAATGAAGGACCTAAACTGCTGATTTTTTTATTTTTTATTTTTGTCGTGAAACGCAAGCAGGATGAGTCGCAGGACTTGTACAAGAGACAACAGCTTAGGGAGCTTGCTTTGCTGAACAACAGTTTCAGAGAAGAGAGCCCCCAACCAAGGGGCAGTTTATCTCCTTTTGGGTCCACAGGAATGAAGCGTGCTAAAACTGGTTGGTGACCCTCAACTTTCTCCTCAACAGGACCTTCTGTCATTGCTGATAAACAACTTCCATGCTTTTAGATGCATGATATGATGACAGTGGCAACAAGTAATCTACCATCCTGGGTGCCTGCGGGGCTTTGTCGTGGAAATATGTTCGTCCTCCTCTATATACCAACTGGCCATGACCTCTCTTACTGATTTGTTGACAGTAGTAGTTTGCAGTTGCTAAGCGTAGAATGATTATTTGATTTGTTTGTTCTTGACCTATAGTTGATAACTGTGGTTGGTTTGCTATTATTCTTTTTCTTTTTCTTTTTCTTTTTAAGTGTAATTTATTCTGTCATATGTCAAAAATAAGTTGGATGTTATGAAGCTTATGGTGAAGGTTTTACTCATAAGGTTGGTGCAGTGGTGCTTTATGTCATAAACTCCTCTCTTGTACAAACTTTCATACAATAATACATACTGCATCCACTCTTATAAATTATATTATATCACATAGGCTTTAGATGTTATGTTATCCATCTCTACTAATATTGTTTGTGTTTAATTTCAATTACTTGTGTTATAGGTCAATTTGATATGAATTAAGATGGCAAGGAGTACTAGAAAAGTACATGTAAGTAAGATTGCAAGGAATACTACTTTTGACTATCTTGATCATCCAAAATATTTATCTTTTGAGCTAAAACTTTCATATCCTCTTCAAACTATTCTTGAAAAGCCTTGTGCCATTAATCTTTGAATCTTCCTTCAAGAATATTTCATTGAGTAGTTTTGATAAATTTGTCTTATAGATTTTCATTGTACACATTTTTGTCTATTTAGAGACACTAAGTGTATGTAAATCCAAAATACTTATAAAAGGTACTTGTATTTGGACTTGATATAGTCTTTAGCTTTTTGTAATTTTTGCGATAATCCTGGTGTAAAGCTTGTAGATGAGGGTTCTTCCTCGGGATTCATTGTGGTGCCCACCAAGGACAAAGAGGATCAAAACATAGTGAATTGCTAAATCCTAACGAATGAGTTCTTAGGTAGTAGATTAGTCAATTGTGGAATCACTATAAACATTGGTCTTATTTGTCCACATTTAATTCACGTTTGTATACACTTAATTTAATTTAGACCATTAAAAAATATTAGATGAATGCACACGATTTGTTCTCACATTCTTACATAAGTAAGTGTTCTCATATAATCCTATATATATATATATATATATATATATATATATATATATATATATATATATATATATATATATATATATATATATATATATATATATATATATATATATATATATAGAATTACATTCAGGTGAAAACACATCTTAAAATACAAACCTGTGGACAATATATGGTCGTTAGATTGTGAGATTGAATGGTCCAGATTGGTCCTAAATTTTTCGCGTGGGGAGATTGTTTTTACGTTAAGGCTTGTTTATTTTAAGTGTTGGGGGGTGTTTTTGGTATTTTGTTTAGTTTGAGACCTAGTCAAATTAATCCATTTTTCCTTCTTCCACGCGCAAGACCTATCAGCCTCAGCAGTCCATGTTCTCGTTTCATCTCGCGATTTTCACTTCCACGTAGCAATAGTAGAAGGTGGGCACCTTGGCGCATCGAAGAGGCGGGAACCACCGGTCCGAGGTGTCGGTCGAGGTACGTAGCCTCGTCGTTTTTTGTTTTTGTTTTGTTTTGTTTTGTTTTTTTTTTTTTTGTTGTTGGGGTTTTTTTGTGTTTCGTGCCTTTGTTTGAATGTCGTTTTCTCGTTGGTGGAATGCAATTGCTTAGCTTTTTTTGTCCTGTGTGGGGGATTGGCGGGGGATGGGATGCCCAAATTGGGGTCGATTTGTTGATCTAGGGTTGGTGTTATACGTATGCTTATCTCTGCTCGGTATTACAGAAGGTATAGGGTTTTTGTGTATGTGTTTAGGCACTCTAGTTTGTTTGATTTTTTTTTTCATTTTCTCTATTCCTTTAATTTTCGGCTCATCACTGGCAGTTCATGGGGGTGGTACTACGAGTCTTTTTTTTTTTTTCTCTGAATTAGAAGAGGTATAGGGCGTGGGTGTGTGTGTCTTTAGGCAGAAATTTAGTGTAGTAGTACTTTTATTTCGTTGGTGTATGCATGGGTATTGGTCTAGTGTGTACAGCTCATATGTAATTGCTATTGTGTTTATTCATTTTTCTTTTGTGTTGCATTTCTCTCGTTCTGTGACTTGTATTTGTTTAGTGGTTTGCTGTATTTCTTTTATTTTATGTTGCTGCAGCTAAAAAATCAAAGGCCACCCATTTCCATGCACATGCTTCTTGGGTTTCTGATGGTGATAGCGACTTCGTGTCGCCTCCTCGCGCGTTCCTTTCTAGTTTGCAACAAGATCATTTGTGGAATGCTCCCAATTATGAACTCTCTGGGGAGGAGGATGCTATGTATCATCGGGGCAAGGATGAGGGCACAATCTCTCATATTGGTTAATGCATTGAAGGGTTTGAGTAGTTTGCAAAAGGCTAACATTCGCGATCTTGGTTTTGGGGCGTTGTTGGAGTTCGGTTCGAGGTTGAGGAGGTTCCACCGCGCCTTTTGAGATGGTTGCTCTTTAATTTCAATCCCCAATCTAAGGCGTTTACTCTCGGTGGCATCTACCCCTATTGGCTCGTGATTGTTCGTCGTGTGTTTGGATAAGTTAGCGTTTATTTTTAAATCTTGTGAAGATTGTAGTTGTTTTAGTGTCCAGTTGGTGGATGGTTATCTAGCTTTCGTTATGTGATCTTAGTGTTGGGTTACTCACACTTTGTTGGGTAGTTTCTTGCTGGGCCACAACTTGGTGCACGCCAAACATAAGAGATACTTTCATGCATGCATTTCTGTGTATTTTCTATCCATATGTATTTTTGTATACAGTTTGCGTTGTGTCCTAGGCGGGTGGTGTGTTTTTACAGTTGTTGAAAGAGGCTGGTGTATACAGTTTGTGTGCACAAAGGTGGTACTGTTGTGCACAGTAGTGTATGACTGCGTTGTCCCAACTTATTAATTAATTCGACCAATTTGGTGCTCTTTTTAGGTGTGGGCTGTATTTTCTTTGCTATATGTGCTTTCATTTTTTATTTACCCCTGCCTACTTTTCATGGTTATTTGAGCGATGCAACCAAATACATTTTGGGATATTTCTGGTTCTATGCCACTCGTCGTGACAGGTATAAAGTGCCGGGTGCATGGTAGTGTATGCTTGTGTGCTCTATAATAGCTTTGGTTGCAATTAGTTTTTAATTTTGGTGCCTCAGTCGTATGCACACGGACTCTACTATGTGTGCACTCTAATACTTGGATTAACAAATGGATAGCCACCATATTTATTACTGTAATAATAACAATAATATTTCTAACATTAATAGTATACAAACTAATTAATTATGTTTTTAAGTTTGCAGTTCCATTCATACTTCGAGCTATGCGTATGCATAGTCATGGTCAGGCATGAGCACACACCGAAATGCAAACACAGTTTTGGAAAATTAAGTCTGCATTCGTTCGTATTTACGTGTGCCTATTTGTTCTTGGTTACGTGATTGCTGCAACCAAATGAATTTCGCACTCTCTTCTAATTGTTTGATCAGTTAGATGTTAGCGGTAGCACGCTTCTGAATGCGTGTGTGCTCCCCAATAACATTGCTTGCAATTTTTTTAAATCCTTATTAGTAACCTTTACGGTTGTCGCTTGTGTCGTATGCACACAGATTGTATTATGCGTGCACCGTATGCTTGCGGGTTAGGCAAAGTGTCACAAACGCATAGTTATCACTATAATAATAACCGACAGGTTCTCATAGTAATTAATTGCGCAATGTGTGCATGCATGGTAGTTAAAGTGTGCACGGACTTATACCAGTGTTTTTAATTAATCTACTAAAAACAAAAATATTGGTAACAGTAGTTTAATGAAAACTAATAATAATTATAAGTTTGAAGTTTCGTTCCATTCTTGAGCTAGCCGTGTTCACGGTGATATTTAGACATTACCACACCACGCGAAATAAAAATCACACTTTGAAAAACTACGTATGTTTATTGTCTATTGAATGTAAGTTGAATAAAATTTAGCAACCATTATACTAACCAGTGTGTGGTTGTACTACTCTTAGATAACTGTGTGTGCACACCATAGGATCTCTGTGTGCACATTCTGTGTACATTGATCCCCAGCGCGACCTCATACCCTTACATGCAGCGTTTTTCTCAACATTTTCATAAACCTCGGCTACCATTACCCACCGTTCTGCGTTTACACCGTCCGTTGCGTTTGGATTGCCATCATGATTCTCTTAGGTTCTATTGTCCAAAGTGTCTATGTCCATGGTGTCTTCGGCGATCGCACGGCGTGAAAAAAAAATCCGGCCTTCTTTCGTTTAAGGGAAGCGTTGCTCTTTTAGTATTGAATTCCTACCATAATAAAACCTCTTAATTATTGCTTAAAATACTAATGATTTTTATTCCTTTTTTAATTAGTATACTCATTCCCATTTATGCCCTTATTTACCGTAAAAAAAGGCATCACTATTCAATTTCAACCCATTGTATCTAGTCCATTCATCTAAGTAGATCCTATGGCCAATTATTGTCCTCAAGTTTGTATTTTAAGGGGGTTTGCATGTGAATGCAACCCTATATATATATATATATATATATATATATATATATATATATATATATATATATATATATATATATATATATATATATATATTGAATCCAATGAGACCCCTATTAAGATGAAATGGTGAGACGACATCTTGACCATTTATAAATTTGTAATGGAAGGATGAGATTGAATGAGAAATATACTGTAAATAAGGCCATAATTTAATTAGGAGGGTTAAAGAGTAATTCTATTAATGTGTTAATTTTGGTTAGAATTAGAATGGAATCTTTGAATTAATGAAAGACCACAAATATAATGGGAATAAGTAGTAATCCAATATGGTTAGTAGTTGTACCACTCAAACCGTGAACAAAGGGTGTTGAAGCGCAAGAACATTGTAGAAGTTGAAGATGGCGACTACTATCACAGGTATGAGCTGCTGTCTTGATTTATAAATTGTTTTTGGACGTTGGTCTGTGCGCTGTTGACCGACGGCGTGTGCGTAATAAAATTTAACGAATTTGTTTAGGATCTGAATGTAGGTTTGTGCGTAATGCTGGAAGTAGTAATTGGTGGGTGCGTTCTAGGTATTAAGCTTGTGCGTACTATTGGGTGTTTAGGATCTGAATGTAGGTGTGTGCGTTGGTGAGGGCAAGTGTGTGCGCTTGTTGAACATATTTGAATCTTGGGGTTCAATAATTTATTTTTGTTTTAAGTATTCGGAATATTATTATTATTATTATTATTATTATTATTATTATTATTATTATTATTGTGTATTTTTAG